CATTGTTATGATATGGGGGAAACTAAAGATTAAATCACCTCGAAATTGTAAATAAAATATTTGTTTTTAAACTATTAAAATTCTATTTATTTTAAACAACAACAAATTTTACCCCCATCCATCCCCCACCCACCCTTCACAGATTGAAGCCAGTTGTCTACGTGAGTGCTGGTTTAGGGTGAGCTCGTGTAAGCACGTGCAGGACGCTCACGTCTGGTTGTGTGACAGAGCCTGATGATAATTGCATGGAATCCTCAACCCCCACCCCCTCCCCCCACCACAACAGACTTTACACATTCTGACCGCGTGACGTCACTGTAAGGCTTGCACTGAGCGGAATATTTATTTAAACTGTCGTCAACTTTAAAACGGCCGCATCCTCTTGTTGTTGAGTGAGCTTATTAAAACATCGACAGAGTGTATTTGAGTCAAGTATTTAAAACAGTATCGCTACTCTAACTCTAGCCCTAACCCATTTCAAGCAAAAAAACAGTATCTCTACTCTAACTCTAGCCCTAACCCACTTCAAACAATAAACAGTATCTCTACTCTAACTCTAGCCCTAACCCACTTCAAACAATAAACAGTATCTCTACTCTAGCCCTAACCCACTTCAAATAATAAACAGTATCTCTACTCTAGCTCTAGCCCTAACCAACTTCAAGCAAAAACAATATCTCCACTGTAACTCTAGCCCTAACCCATTTCAAGGTAAAAACAGTATCTCTACTCTAGCCCTAACCCACTTATAACAAAAAAAAAACATTATCTCTACTCTAACTCTAGCACTAACCCACTTAAAACAAAACAAAAAACTGTATCTCTACTCTTACTCTAGCCCTAATCCACTTCTAATAATAACCAGCCCGATTACGATAATCCTAATTACAAATCCTGGATATAATCCCTAACCTTAGCCCAACATTCTGATGCAACTAGGATACTAATACTAAAAAAAATAAGCTTCGATTAGCCTTTAATGCTACTCAGAGTTTCTTTATAGCCTGGTAAAATAAAATAAGCATAAATATACTAAACAAAGAAAGATAATAAAGAAAAATAAAGGAATACAACACAGAGAAAATAAATCCAGGTAAAAATACATTTTATAAAGTAAATTATCAGCTTTGGGCTTATTTATTTCATATGCTCATTATATTTTCAGAGGCAATATACTTTGTTAGGAGAGAATTGTTCTCTAAATATCCCGATATATCGACTTGGTATAGCTAGGTGAACACCGTGGTTTGAAGTTCGAGGTGCCACGCCCGTCGTCCACAGACCATCTGCCTCCTTGTTACCACGGCACGTACGGTGATCACGTGACCAGCACTACGGTCGGCCGACTGGAGTTTATCGATCACACAGGCGTGAGCATAATTAGTACAAGAACTGTTTTTTTTTTTAAAAGTAGGGATGCTTTCCCCTTAAAGCGTTCTCCTATACCCGCCCCGCCCTTCCACCCACCGCCCTCCCCACCCACTCCGAAATAAATAAAAATATACCAATATCACCCATTCGAAAATTAAAAATTAAGAAATGCTAATTAATCTGAAATTGAAAGTGCTATGAAAATTGTTTATAGGCCTATATATTCATTTACTTCTTCATAAAAATTGGTTGTTAAAAAATCATATAATCGGAGTTCATTAACCAATTTAAATAAAAATAATTGGGAAATGAATTTTTATTCTCGTAGGTCTAAGCAAAACCGTTTTAAACATGGTGAATTTTGTTTCGGTTACTTCCCTTTACGTGTTTTGTTACAAGATTTTAAAATACGAGTTATCTTCGACGATAGACATTACGTGACCTCTAGTGCCTTGAAGTAAACACAGTCATAGATGTGTAGTGAACATTAGGTGCAGTGGAGTGGATTGCAAGTCAGAAAATAATGTTGTTAGAACTGTTAGGCAAAATAAACGTTTATTGATTTTTTTTTCAGGGGATTTATTATGAAAATTAAATAATAATTTAAAAAAAAAAATTAGTTATACAGATTTGTAAGAAAAAAATACTCCTTCGAGCCTGTCTGTTCAAGAGGCAGGTAAAGTAGAGTTCACCTTTTCCAGCCACCTCCTTATATAGGGATAGTGTGGTCAGCACTATGGCCAGCCGCCTTTACTTTCCCAAACGTGAGTCAGGTACCCATCCGAGCTGGGCAGACTCAGGGACGTTCTACCGACATGATCCTTGTGATTCGAACTCGAGACTTTCGGGTAAACAGTCTTACGTTCTACAATCTGACCATGCCTTTTCCTTTGAAGTAAATACTTAGTTACTTAGATTTTTAAAAATCATTATTTAGTTATGGAAATTATTAAAAAAAATGAATCTTTGTTATGAATACTTAGAAATCGATTAGCTTTGATCTATCTGATATACTGAGGTCCATATTTCAATACAGTGAATGTTATTTTATCCCAAATGGGCGGAGTTATCGTGACAGCCTACAATAATATAGAGATTTATGTTTTCATATATCATATCGCATTCCCAACAATATGTTGTAGTTATATTAGAGCAACGTTCACGACCAAACACTGACATTATGACATTTGGCGTCTTGTCATTTAGTCCGGCTGGACACTGTCCACGGTATCAGCTGTCAATCAAATTGACATCCCACGCCCCCCTAATGTTGCATTACGGGCAGGGGTTTTAGTGGAATTTGAAACCAGGACGACGGTGTGGCGGGGGTCGAGGGGTGGTCAACTTGTCAGGGGTGAGGGGGGGGAGGGCGGGGGGTGACGTGTGGCAGATGTCAAGCAGACGACCAGACAGACTTTAGGTCTGGGATTGGTCTCAGTACTCACACGGTGACCTGACCCTAGTCTTGTTTGCAGAGGCGTTGCGAGTGGGGGGGGGGGTGCGGACCGCAACGGGTGACACCATTTAGGGGGGTGTCATCAAGGCAAAAAAATAGCAAAATATATAGAGAAAAATTATAATTCCACATAATTAAGGGATTAATTCGAGCGTTAAATAGTGTTTTAAGATGTGCAAATCGAAAGTTTGAGGGGGATGGGTGCAAATCGAAAGTTTGAGGGGGGGGGAGGGGGGGGAGGGTGCAAATCTAAAGTTTGAGGGGGAGGGGTGCAAATCGAAAGTTTGAGGGGGGTGCAATTCGAAAGTTTGAGGGGGATAGGGGTGCAAATCGAAAGTTTGAGGGGGGGGGGGGGTGCAAATCGGAAATTGAAAGTTTGTCCCCGGAAAAAAAAATGTTTGCTGGATCTGGCTGAGGAACTTTGCCAATTAATTTAAAACTATTTGAAAACGTAGCTTTTGAGTTTTGCAGAAATTGGTGAAAACATTGTGACTCAAATATCGAAACATGCAAGCAAGTTTCGGTATTTTTCACTTGCTATGGATGAATCGCTGGACAGCTGTTCCACCTGTCAACTGCATGTGTTTCATTAGAGGTGTGGATGAAGACATGAACGTAACACATAAGCTGGGGGGGGGGGGGGGGAGACGTTCTTCGATGGGGGAGAGAGGGGGGGGGGGGGGCTCCGACACCCCAATGAAATGCATGGAAAAAAATGGTTCCCGAAATAATATTTGATAGTTAATGCGGCCCTCGGGATGAAAAGTTTGGAGACCTCTTGTATAGAGGCCCACATGGTACAAAAATGGTCAACTGATCCAAGTGTTGTTTGTATTGAGGTACAAATGGTACAAAAATGGTCAACTGATCCAAGTGTTGTTTGTATTGAGGTACAAATGGTACAAAAATGGTCAACTGATCCAAGTGTTGTTTGTATTGAGGTACAAATGGTACAAAAATGGTCAACTGATCCAAGTGTTGTTTGTATTGAGGTACAAATGGTACAAGTATGGTCAACTGATCCAAGTGTTGTTTGTATTGAGGTACAAATGGCACAAGAATGGTCAACTGATCCAAGTGTTGTTTGTATTGAGGTACAAATGGTACAAGAATGATCAACTGATCCAAGTGTTGTTTGTATTGAGGTACAGATGGTACAAGAATGGTCAACTGATCCAAGTCCTACATATTCGCACCAGAGTCTACCCAGCTCTTATGGGTACCTGACTCACGTTAGTGATGCTAATTGGCGGCTGAGCATCTATCTATATATATAATTCTCTTCTTGGAGACGCTAGAAAACAAGCTGTAAGCGCGCCCTACCACTCCACCCCTACATGATCTGGTGAGCTGTGGTTCACGCTAAATGTTTACAATCGTAGAGCCGGGTTTAGTGACGACTATTAGGGGCAGATAATTTAGTTTGAAACGATTTTAAACTTAGGGGAGGTTACTAAGAGGAGGCTGCTTTCATAGGGTGGGGGGGGGGGGTGGGGGTGTAGGGTAGGGGTTGCGGGAAAGGAGGATGGGGGTAGTATCGTCCTTAACGACCTACTGATAGTGTTTTAAAGCAAATATTTTCAGTGGCAGCATTGGTACTGTCGAATTCACAAATTATGAATTACTGAAAAGTAGAAAATAAAACAACTAAATAGCGGCGTATGATATGCCGCGGGTCGGCTCGTAGAGATAAACACACTATCCCCTGTATGCTGAGATAATTGAAACAGATGAACTCTACTTTATCTGCCCCATGTGTCTTGGGCACGAACGGGAAAAGATGGACCCGTTTCTAAGATATATTACATTGACTTTAAAAGAATTGTATTCTTTTGTTTTTGTTTACATAAATGTGTATTGTGGGGTGGGATCAGAGGGGGGGGGGGGGAAGGGGGGGGTGGTGGGAATTGTGTCAAAGCATTAGCGATGTCATTTATAAGAAGTTCGAGTTTTAGAGCGTTTTTGCGACCTTAAGTAAAAAAAAAAATGACACGGGAATAACAAGAAACACACTAATCCTTGCAACGCCTTTTCTTTACTTGTATATTTAGGTTTACGCACCGCATTGAAGAATTCCCGGAATTTCCGTTTTTTTGGTTACGTATTAAAAAGCGCTGCACGATAACATTGGATAATTAAAAAACACAATCACTTCCTTTTTTGACAATTTAAAGTTAAATAAAATATGAAATCTTTAAAATTCAAAATACCTTCAAATTGTACAATGATGTATAAATTACCATACACATACACGTAAACCTGAGTGTCGTTGAAGGTGAGGATAAAAAAAAAAAGATGTTTTTTATCAGTCGCACATGGCCGATACGGTATGCGGCGGCGAAAGACGAAGCCGCGAATTATACCTTTGAGGAATACGACAAATACAATGCTCAGTTTGCCTACCTGGTGTTCACTTACTGTTCGTTCTACTTTCTCATCGTGGGAATACCTGGTAGGTGGTTGTATGTGCTATTGTTACAACCAGAGTTTCTTTCGGTCATCTCTTCGTTGGGGAGGGGGGGGGGGGGTGAATAAATGTCTACCCCGAACGAAATAGAATTTATATAGAAAATACATACTTTTACCACTGTCCGCCCCCCGGAAATTTAAGTCACCCCCGGAAATTTCAAGTGCCACCCCCCCCCCCACGGAGATAAAAGCCTGGGAGAAACACTGGTTACAACATACACACACACACACACACACACATATATATATATATATATATATATATATATATATATATATATATATATATATATATATATATATATATATATACATATATATATATATATATATATATATATATATATATATATATATATATATATATATATATATATATATATATATATATATATGTATATAGGGCTACTACGCTCATACTTTTAACATGTAACTCTGCTATAGCTCACATAATTTTAGCATATAATGTTGTTACAATACAAACATTTCAAACATATTATGCTGTACAGGTGCATTATCATCTTTTTTTCCGTTCGTGCCCAAAACACACGGTGCAGATGAAGTAGAGTTCATCTGTTTTTTTTTAAATTTTATTTTACATAAGGTAAGTTAGGTACCCATCATAGCTGGGTGGACTCAGGGACAGCGTGGCCGTGAGGTAGAACTCAAGACTGCGAACCCGAAAGTCTTTAGTTCGAATCCAGGTTTACGCCAGTAATCAACTTACGTTAGATAAAACCAATGTGGCTGTTCATGAAGAGTGCTGACCACATTATCCCTACATGTGCCGAGGTAACAGAAACTGGTTAAATCTAATTCGTTTGCCCCACGGACCGTCAGAGAAGGCTAGCCTCCAATAATAAAACATATTACAAGAACTTAGACCTAGTAAGCGATACTATTTTAAAATAAAGAATTCTTACCATTATATGGCTATGTACCATTGTATGACTATGTACCATTGTAGGGCTATGTACCATTATATGGCTATGTACCACTGTAGGACTATGTACTATTGTAGGACTATGTACCACTGTAGGACTATGTACTATTGTAGGACTATGTACCATTGTATGACTATGTACCATCGTAAAACTATGCACCATTGTATGGCTATGTACCATTGTAAAACTATGTACCATTGTAGGACTATGTACCACTGCAGGACTATGTACTATTGTAGGACTATGTACCATTGTAGGACTATGTACCATTGTAGCACTATGTACCATTGTAGGGCTATGTACCATTGTAGGGCTATGTAGCATTGTAGGACTATGTACCATTGAAGGACTATTTACCATTGTAGGACTATGTACCATTTTAGTGCTATGTACCATTGTAGGGCTTTGCATCATTGTATGGCTATGTACCATTGTAGTGCTATGTACCATTTTAGGGCTATATACCACTGTAGGACTATGTACCATCGTAGGGCTGTGTACTATTGTAGGACTATGTACCATTGTAGTGCTATGTACCACTGTAGGACTATGTACCATCCTAGGACTGTACCATTGTAGGACTATATACCATTGTAGGGCTATGTACCATTGTAGGGCTATGCACCATTGTATCTTCTTCTTCTTCTTCGTTCTTAATTATTAGTGTTGAAGGGGATCGAGATTTATCTGCCAGTGGGTTTGAACTCGAGACTTTGTTCGAATTTATCAACCATGAGCTTTTTGCCGACTCGACCACGCCTCCAACACAATTAAGCGTTACGTGTCAACTGGTTATGCGCCATTGAGGCCATTGACTCCGATTTCAGCCTGCTTTTCTTTTTGGATTTGCTTCCATAGCCTTTGTCCAACCAAGAACAAACTACAAGGCAGCAGTTGTTTAATTTTGGAGTTGTCTCTCCTAGAAGAGTGGCTGTCCCCAGCTAACGAGCCTCATCTGCCCGAGTCATACCATTGTATGACTATGCACCATTGTATGACTATTGTAGGGCTATGCACCATTGTATGACTATGCCCCATTGTAGGACTATGCACCATTGTATGGCTATGATGTACTTTAACCCTTTCTTGCTCATACTTCTCTAGGAAATATCTTAACCCTTGTCGTGCTACGTAGGAGGAGGTTGCGTGACTCGGATTTGTCCCTGTACCTGGCCAGTCAATGCATCTTTAACGTCATCTCTCTCCTCCTCTACGTCATCCGCTACCTGCCCGTGGGTTTACAGAGCAGTGACGTCAAGACCAACTACTTGACCATCTGCAGGTAATTGTTTATCTCCCCCTTTTTTATTACTTCCCTTTTTTTTGAATAATTTCCCTTTTTTATACCTCTCTCCATTTTGAATGATTTTTTTCTAATTTTGAATAATTTTTCCATATCGAAGCATCACTTTCACTGTTTTGGATGATTTTCTACAATTTTAGGATGATTTCCCTATTTTTTGAATGTTTTGTCATATGATGGCTTATTTCAACCCCCCCCCCCCCCCCCCCAACCTCTATTTAAATATTTCAATTAATTCCAAAATTTTGATGATTTACCATTATTTAGTCGTGTTTACGTCAAATCGTCCTTTCGGGCGTTTGTCACTTTCCGGAAAGTATCCATTCATTAAAACAACCGGGTCCCGATAACACTATATCAACTACACTCTCAGCTTGATGTATATACCCTCGCAGATGATCATACTTTTTTTGCCATGAAAGTCTGGGCTAGGTTTAGGTTCAATGTTAAAGCAGGCTATATGTTTTGCATACATTTCAGCGGCTACCTGTTCCTGAGTAATTGCATCATCGCAATCGTCTGTTGGCACCAGGTGCTACTGGCGATATGGAGATTCTTGTACCACAGTGTCAGGTGAGTCTTGAGGTCAAGGAACTTTTGGTGGGCGTCAGGAGAGTCTTAGTGGGCGTCAGGTAAGTCTTGAGGTCAAGGAACTATAGGTGGGCGTCAGGTGAGTCTTGGTGGGCGTCAGGTAAGTCTTGAGGTCAAGGAACTATAGGTGGGCGTCAGGTGAGTCTTAGTGGGCGTCAGGTGAGTCTTGGTGGGCGTCAGGTGAGTCTTGGTGGGCGTCAGGTGGGTCTTGAGGTCAAGGAACTTTTGGTGGGCGTCAGGTGGGTCTTGAGGTCAAGGAACTTTTGGTGGGCGTCAGGTGGGTCTTGACGTCATTGGTGGGCGTCAGGTAAGTCTTGAGGTCAAGGAACTATAGGTGGGCGTCAGGTAAGTCTTGAGGTTAAGGAACTATAGATTGGCGTCAGGTGAGTCTTGAGGTCAAGGAACTATGGTGGGCGTCAGGTAAGTCTGGAGGTCAAGGAACTATAGCTGGGCGTCAGGTAAGTCTTAAGGAACTATAGGTGGGCGTCAGGTAAGTCTGGAGGTCAAAGAACTATAGATTGGCGTCAGGTGAATCTTGTTGTCAAGGAACTCTTGTATGTCTATGAGATCAGTCTACTGATACAACTAGAATATCGTCTGCAAGGATGCCTGAAAGTGCCCGATCATTTTTGTCGACCTGGATGAACCACACGTTTTTTCTTTACATTTATCCTACTCTGTAGCCTTATGCGTATTGTTTTAATATCGAAAGTAAAACTTGAAGTTTGTTTTAGAAATTTTAAAATGTTGTTACTGTTTCAACTTAAGACCTCCGTCTGTTAATGTATCTCCTTCCAATCTCTGCTTGTTACTGTCTCAGCTTTCGACCTCTACGTGTCACTGTTTCAACTTCCGAACTATAGATGTTACTGTTTCAGCTTCCGAACTTTCATACTCTGTATGTTATTGTTTCAAATTCCGACTTCTATAAGCTACTGTTTCAACTTCCGACCTTATTTTTGTTTGTGTTTCGACTTTCGACCTCCGTGTGTTACTGTCTCAGCTTTCGATCTCTATATCTTACTGTTTCAATTTCCGAACTATGTATGGTGCTGTTTCAACTTTCATACTCTGTATTTTAAACTTCCGACATTCTTATGCTACTATTTCAACTTTCGAACTATGTATGGTACTGTTTCATCTTTAGTACTCTGTATTATATTGTTTCAACTTCCGACCTCTATAGGCTACTGTTTCAACTTCCGAACTATGTATGGTACTGTTTCATCTTTAGTACTCTGTATTATATTGTTTCAACTTCCGACCTCTATAGGCTACTGTTTCAACTTCCGAACTAATTATATTACTGTTTCAGCATTCGACCTATGTACACCGGTTACGAACCTCCATTGGCCGTATTAGGGACCTGCCTGTTTTGTGGCTTTTACGAAATCCTTATAACTTATTTTGGCAGTAAACGGCAAGATATATTCAGGTAGGGATCTAGTAGTCTCTTGGTGGTTTAGTATGTAAAGTTGTCTACACTTGATTTTCCGGGTGGTTTAATCAGTAAAGACATACTCATGTAACAACTGGGTTTTGCTGCCTATATTAGAGCACAGTATATCCTGGTTTGGATATGAGGGGCAGTTCCCCGTAGTTCCCCCTAGGGCAGAGGCGTAGCGACCCTTCCCGGGAACAAACTTTCAATTTTGCGCCCCCCTCGGGAGCAAATTTTCAATTTGCAACCACCCCCTCAAACTTTCGATTTGCAGCCCCCCTCAACTTTTCGATTTGCACGCCCCCCCCCCTTCAAACTGCAAAAATGCAGCAAAAATGACATTTTAATATGTTTTGACAACCCATTTTGACGCCCCCTAAGTTCGGCGCCCGTGGACATATGTCCCCCCCCTCATCTCTACGCCTCTGCCGTGGGGACGCCCAACGGCCTTCGAGTTCGAACTCCGACCTCGGGTTACTAAGCACGTCAGCCTACCGCTAGACCACTCCGCTCCACACTTTCGTATGCTAAACGCAAAATCAGATGACTGAAGACACAGACGTCCTATAATAAACTCTTCCAAAAAATAGGGGTGTTAGGTTGTTAGCATTGTAATCTCGACTAGTTTTATGGTTAGAAATTAGCGTTAGGCGCGTGGTAGAACTAGAGTTGGTTTTGACTTTATTTAACCACCAGCAACCTAACAACCTTTTTATAAGAAGATTCTATTATTGGACACTGGTACAAAAAAAAATCCCCCTCCCCCATCCCCCGCAAAGCTAATCTTTTTCTTATACAAATAAAAGGTTACAACTTTTAGACATTGTATTATGAACTGTCTTGATAGCTGATCAGTCAAAGACCCCGTATAGACAGAGGCGTAGCGAGTGGGGGTGGGTGGGGGGGGGGGGCGGGGGTGCGGACCGCACCGGGTGACACCATTTAAGGGGGGGGGGGGGTGACACCAAGGCAGAAAATAGCAAAATATATAGAGAAAAAATTGAGCGGGGGGGGGGTGCACACCGAAAGTTTGACGAGGGGGTGGGGGGGTGCAAATCGATAGTTTAAGGGGGGGGGAAGTGCCAATCGTAAATTTGAAAGTTTGTCCCCGGGAAGGGTCGCCACGCCTCTGGGGGGGGGGGGGGGGATGACACAATTAAGTGCCGCACCGGGTGACACCCGACCTCGCTACGCCACTGCGTATAGATGCACATACACTATGTCGTATGGTGTTGACTTTGTATCGTACATATAGCGGTTACAGCGAATGTCTTCTAGACCAAGCGGTATGGACAAAAGCCAACTATATCCTGGTCTTCGTGGTGCCCTGTGCCTGTCTGGTCATCTTCTACTTATTGTGGTTCATCATTCACAGGCGGAGAGATGTCGACTGCAAAAACAGTAAGTTTACTGCTTCGGGTACTTGTCAACATCGTCTCTATATATTGTTAACATATTCTCCACATATTCCTCACAAAATAACAATATATTCTCCACATGTTCTGTTCTTTTCGGCACATATTCTGCATATATTCTCCACATATTATCCGCATAATCTCTACACATTCTCTACACATTTTTAACATATTCTCTACATATTTTTAACATATTCTCCACATTCAAGACTTATTCCTCACATAGTCCCAACATATTCTGCATATATTCTCAACATATTCTGAATATATTCTGCACATATTCTGTACATATTCTCCACATATTCTCCAAATATTTTTAACATATTCTCCACATTCATCACATATTCCCAACATAGTCCCAACACATTCCGTGCATATTCTCCACATATTCTGAATATATTCTGAACATATTCTGCACATATTCTCCACATATTCTCCACATATTTTTAACATATTCTCCACATTCACCACATATTCTCAACATATACTCCACATTGACATCAAGTATTCTCCATATTTTTCGTATATTCCCCCACATATCCACATATTGCTTACATATTATCCGCTCTTCCACATTAATTTCTATTTTGTATATTTATTATTTTGTATCAGACACTTTTAGGGAACTTTGCGTCCCCCCGTCCCCCCGTCCCCCCCCCCCCCCCCCCGAGCTCTTTGACAGTACACCACAGATTCTATCCTCGTTTATGCTCATGACAACTCAGTCGACTGTCTTGATCTGTTGCCATGAAAACGCTACTTTGTTTTGTTTACACCCCACAGTTCACGGGCTCGTTGCTTTCCTCGTCAAAACAACGAACGTCATCTTTCTCGTGACGTCACTGGTTGCTCCCACCTACTATTACCTAGTGTTTTCACGGTTCGATGAAAACACGCGTCAGACGCGAGTGTACCTAGGTGAGACTTTTGTTCGTTAAGTTAAATTTGTATTGTGGGTACCTTGGTGAGACTTTGTTCGTTAACTTTGGGTACCTTGGTGAGACTTTGTTCGTTACCTTTGTAGTGTGGGTACCTTGGTGAGACTGTGGGTACCTTGGTTAGACTTTGTTCGTTAACTTTGTATTGTGGGTAACTTGGTAAGACTTTGTTCGTTAGGTTAACTTTGTATTGTGGGTACCTTGGTGAGACTTTGTTCGTTTACTTTGTATTGTAGGTACGTTGGTGAGACTTTGTTCGTTAGGTTATCTTTGTATTGTAGGTACGTTGGTGAGACTTTGTTCGTTAACTTTGTATTGTAGGTACGTTGGTGAGACTTTGTTCGTTAACTTTGTATTGTGGGTACCTAGGTGAGACTTTGTTCGTTAACTTTGTATTGTGGGTACCTAGGTGAGACTTTGTTCGTTAGGTTATCTTTGTATTGTGGATACGTTGGTGAGACTTTGTTCGTTAAGTTAACTTTGTATTGTGAGTACCTTGCGGAAAGTTTAATGCGCGATTCCCCCCCCCCCCACCCCCTCCCCCCACCCCCCAGGAGAAAAATCTCTGAAAAAAATCCCGGATCGAATGAGATTGGAATGACCGTCTGTGTGAGGTCTACTACAAATAACCAAACTGTCCCTGTGTGTTGCAGGCTACTTTGTATCCCAGTCGACTATCCACATGAGTTTCGCTTCCAACGTGCTTGTGTACCTGACCCTGAGTTCCGCATACCGGAAGGAGCTGCATCACATGTTTGTGGGGATGTTCAGGCGCAAGTCGGTGTTGATCGTGGACGAGGTTGATGAAGAGGAAGAGGATATGATGGATGAGGTGGATAAGACTATAGGTGAGAGGTTGGATTGGTGGTGTGGGTGTAGGGTGGTGTGGTGTGGTTTTGTGATGGTGTGTTTGTGTGATGGTGTGGTTGTGTGATAGTGTGGTTGTGTGATGGTGTGGTTGTGTGATGGTGTGATGGTGTGGTTGTGTGATGGTGTGATGGTGTGGTTGTGTGATGTTGTGTGATGGTGTGGTTGTGTGATGGTGTGGTTGTGTGATGGTGTGGTTGTGTGATGGTGTGATTTTGTGATGTTGTGTGATGGTGTGGTTGTGTGATGGTGTAGTTGTGTGATGGTGTGGTTGTGTGATGTTGTGTGATGTTGTGTGATGGTGTGGTTGTGTGATGGTGTGGTTGTGTGATGGTGTGGTTGTGTGATGGTGTGATTGTGTGATGGTGTGGTTGTGTGATGGTGTAGTTGTGTGATGGTGTGGTTGTGTGATGGTGTGGTTGTGTGATGGTGTGGTTGTGTAATGGTGTAGTTGTGTGATGGTGTGGTTGTGTAATGGTGTGGTTGTGTGATTGTGTGTTTGTGTGATGGTGTGGTTGTGTGATGGTAAGTGTGATGATATATGTAATAAGTTTAATGATAAGCGTAATGATAAGTGTAATGATAAGTGTAATGGTAAATGTAATGATAAGTGTAATGGTAAGATGGAATTGCTGAATGACGTTGAGGTTATGTCTAGCTGTGTTGCTGTAAAGTGTTGTTTGTTTTGAGATGTTGTTGAGTTTCACCCTAATGTAAAGTCACCGGTGATTTTTTTTAAAAAAAGGATAATATTTAATTTGTGATCGCAAATGTTAAAAGGATCAAATAAATGAGTGTTTGAATGTGTAAGAGAAATGTAATGTGTATAAGGGAATGTGCTAAAAAAGTTGAAAAATCTGGGCAGAATACAGGTAATTTGTGCACGGAAGAGAAAGATGTTGGTGATGATAATAGTGTGTATTAATTAAAATATTGATTACTGAATTTTAAAATGAGATGGTAATAGGGCTGATAAGTAGGTCACCAACCAGTTCTACGGCTGAATAAAACCTGCATGAGCCAATAGAACTGGTTGGTGACCTACTTACCAGCCCTATTCATTTACTGTGCTGACACAATTTAACACAGGAAAAGTCACTTCTTGATTTTTTTTAAAGAGTCTGTTGTGGGATTCAACGAAACGAAGATATGAAGCAAGGACACCCACAGGAGCGGGTGATACACATTTCATAAACTAATGGACGTGTTTACCACTCAATCTTATTTTCTTCAAACAACCACTTTTAATGTCAGTTATTATAATTTATTATTCTTCAACTTTTGTGCAGAGATTTCTTTTTCTATGTTTTTTTTTAAATAAACGTGTCCACCAATTTGTGTGCATTTAGTTGATTTGATAAAGGAGCCTTTTCGTGATTTAGAATCACCACCCGATATTAACTCGGGATAAGAACGTCTCGGGGTACGAATGTTTTAAGTAACGAACACACAATCTATACTTTTTATTAATTGTGTGTTCGTAAAATAAAAAATAAAAATAAAAAAAAACTTTCAAAAGGCCTAATCGGATCGTTATTTTATTAATTTCCCCGTTCGTGTCCAAGACACATGGGCAGACGAAGTAGAGTTTATCTGCTTTAGATGACCTCGGCTAATGAAAGGTTAGTCGGTTAGTGTGGTCAACACTTTACCCAGACGCCTTTGTTTCCCCAACGTAAGTTAGGTACCCATCAGAGCTGGGTGGACTCAGGGAAGTTTTATTTTGAACGCGGTTTCAAACTCGAGACTCTCGGGTTAGCAGTCTAACTTGAAGGCCGCTAGACCACGCCTCAACTCTCTACCGCTAGACCACGCCTCCCCACCGGATCGTTAGAATACAAATATTCCTAACGAGCCGACCCGCGGCGTACTAAATAGCGGCGTATCATAAGCCGCTATTTAGTTGTTTTATTTTCTACTTTTCAGTAATTCATAATTTGTGAATTTGACAGTATCAATGCTGCCACTGAAAATATTTGCTTAAAAATACTATCAGTTGGTCGTTAAGGACGATAACCCCCCCCCCCCTCCGTGAAAGCAGCCTCCTCTTAATTACCTCCCCTAAGTTTAAAATAGATTAAAACTAAATTATCTGCCCTTAATAGGCGTCACTAAACCTGGCTGTACGATTGTAAACATTTAGCGTGAACCACAGCAGTGGGGGAGGTTGATTTATGTCTAGTGAAGAAGAGAGGGGACTGCAAGGCGCGCTTACAGCTTGTTTTCTAGGGTCCCCAAAAGAGAATCAAAAGTTTGAGGGGGGGGGGGGGGTGCAAATCGAAAGTTTGTCTCCGGGCGCCGGAGTCGCTACGCCTCATTAACTGTGTCAGACGCGTTCGCCGGCGACCGGAAAGGGCGTGATTTGGCGCTACGGGCTAGAATGTGAGCAATATGCCTTTATGATTGCATTTAAGATGTGTTTATGTTGGTATGAGTGTTGTGTTTGTTTTTTCGTTTGTGTTTTTTTTTTTGCGTTCGTTTGTGTTGTATTTAGTTTTGTTCTGTTCCCAAGTTAGTACATTTAAAAAAGATTTACCGTGGCGGTGCACGGGATGCAGCTAGTTATATATATATAGATAGATAGATAAGATTGTATTCGAAATCCTGTTTCTGTTTGTGGCCTCCTCTTGGAAACAAAAGCTCAGAAATATCTGATAATACCCTCAGCTATTTCAGATATGGGGCTCCACCATAGGCCTAGATAGTATATATTATGTTACCGAAGTTGTTCTATAGTCTATGGAGTTTTTATTGGGATAATTAATGTAGTATTATATTTGAGTACTAACCGGCGATGTCCTTCATCGGCCATCTCTTTCACCGGCCTTTGTGAAAAGCTTTTCGTAAAGGACCGTGACTTATGAGTTTATTAAGCATCATAAACCCTACCCAGCTCTGCCCGGAATTCGGGAATATATTACAGTTTTAATTACTGTCTATATGCAAATAACGACTTTGAGAATATATATATATATATATATATATATACATATATATATATATATATATATATATACATATATATATATATATATATATATATATATATATATATATATATATATATATATATATATATATATAAAACCTTAAACCTAACTCTAAACATAACCGTAAACACAATCAACATTAAGCATCATATACCCTACCCAGATCTGCCCGGAATTCGGGAATATATTACAGTTTTAATTACTGTCTATATGCAAATAACGACTTTGAGAATATATATATATATATATATATATATATATATATATATATATATATATACATATATATATATATATATATATATATATATATATATATATATATATATATATATATATATATATATATATAAAACCTTAAACCTAACTCTTAACATAACCGTAAACACAATCAACATTAAGCATCATATACCCTACCCAGCTCTGCCCGGAATTCGGGAATATATTACAGTTTTAATTACTGTCTATATGCAAATAACGATTTTTGAGAATATATATATATATATATATATATATATATATATATATATATATATATATATATATATATAAAACCTTAAACCTAACTCTAAACATAACCGTAAACACAATCAACCTCAGCTACAAACACGAAGTTGCAGCCCTAAGCTGTAGCTTGTTTAGCTTACGCTTAAACCCGGCATTAGGCGGAGAGAATTTACTTAAACACATGTACTGAACACGTAAGCCTCAGTGTACATCTACTGATATGAAATTGCTGAAAAAAAAGCATAAAGTATTGATTTTTAAAATATTTGAAACGTTTTTTTTGGAATGACAATTATTGTGTTTTAATTTGAAGTTTAAATCAATCTAAACCCTGTTTTTTTTTTAAAGTTTGAATTAGAGCATATGCATATTGAATCGCGAAAATTCGGCTTACTTGTAATTATTATTTTGGATGTCTACTCTTTAAAAAATTTTTATCAGTTAGGTTTTAGAGTTTCATTAAAATATCAACTAGAGTTTAAGTTTTATGTTACGTGTGGGGGTTCAGCTGCTCAACATAACATCAGATGAGGTAGGTATGAGTTGAAATATTACACACACGCAAAAAAAAACAAAAAAAAAAAACAGTTCAAAGCTTTAAAAAATATAACAAGTTCCTAGTAAAAATACTAATTTAATTGTTTTGTTGTGTATATATATATATATATATATATATATATATATATATATATATATATATATATATATATATATATATATATATATATCTATATATATATATATATATATATATATATATATATAAAGCAAAGTGGTCAAGTGCCCGATAGGGCACTTCCCGGCGCCGCAGGCGCGTCAAATTTGGCACGATGGTGCCTTCGAGCGATAGAACACGAAGGCCGGTGACGGTTGGCCGAAAAGTCTACGGAGAGGCGGTCAAAACTGACCTCGTTTGACCGGCGCCTTATACGGGCTATATTACGAAAAATAATTTCCTCCGACGACCCCCCTTGAAATTTTGTGAGGTGGTAGGAGAACGCCTTGGGGTGTCATAAAAAACTCGCCATGTCCGGGAAAAATCGGGAAATGGGTCAAAACTGACCAGTCGTATTTCCTTATATAATCTTTGTATTTTATGGGAAAAACAGAGGGTCATTTCAAAACGAATTTTAGGGCACTTACTCTCTTTACATCTGGCTAATTTTTGGCATGTTTATAGGTAAATGGCTTGGCCGTAGGGCAGACCTGTCAGTTTCACTCAAAGCCCTCGACGAGGGCAAAAAAGTGACCGCGAGTGAAATTCTCTTTATATGAGCTCTATTAGGAAAAAAAATTTCCTCCGACGACCCCCCTTGATATTTTGTGAGGTGGTAGGAGAACGCCTTGGGGTGTCACAAAAAACTCGCCATGTCCGGGAAAAATCGGGAAATGGGTCAAAACTGACCAGTCGTGTTTCCCTATATAATCTTTGTATTTTATGGGAAAAACATAGGGTCATTTCAAAACGAATTTTAGGGCACTTACCCTCTTTACATCTGGCTAATTTTTGGCATGTTTATAGGTAAATGGCTTGGCCGTAGGGCAAACCTGTCAGTTTCACACAAAACCCTCGACGAGGGCTAAAAAGTGACCGCGAGTGAAATTCTCTTTATATGAGCTCTATTACGAAAAAAATTTCATCCGACGACCCCCCTTGATATTTTGTGAGGTGGTAGGAGAACGCCTTGGGGTGTCACAAAAAACTCGGCATATCTGGGAAAACTTCGTAAATGGGTCAAAACTGACCAGTCGTATTTCCCTATATAATCTTTGTATTTTATGGGAAAAACAGGGTAATTTCAACACAATTTTTACGTTCCTTAACCTCTGTACATCATGCTAATGTTTTGCATACACTTCTATAGATGACTAGGCCGTATGGAAAAACTGTTCGTCAGACTCAAAGCCCTCGACGAGTGCTAAAAGATGACCGCGAGTGAAATTCTCCTTATATGAGATATATATAAATAAATTGATCCCCTTAATATTATTTGAGGTCGTAGACCGACCCTGGAGGGTAACAAAAAAACTTTATTCCCGTCGGAAAAAGCCATTGTAGACGTTAAATATGTTTATATATCGTATTTTCTTATATAAGCATAGTAACTGTTTAAAAAAAAAGTAAACACAGACATACGCCATTCGGTTAATTTTCAGGGGAGGTAACCTTTTTAAATAATTATTTTTCAAATAATTGTATACTATTTTAAACAGAAACAGAAAACGACAAAGTATAGCATTTGTTTTAGAAAAAAATACGTTGATAATTAAGCTACGTATCATAATTAAATAAAAAATTAATTTTGAAAGTCAATGTAATATAAATTGTGAGATATACTGTTCATGGAACCTCTGTAGTTCTATTTCCATTTTAGTTATAAATTGCGTACTTTCGAATGCTTTCTCTGAAAGCGGATATTAAACAACATACAACAACATCTTCTCTAAAATTGGCATTACTGTTTAGATTTAAGAACTCCACGCCTCATCCATCACCAAACAATTAGTATTCAAATTATCAAATGTTTTGAAAACCTAAGCGAAGCTAGGCAGAATGCCTAGTATATATATATATATTATAATCATACGATCAAGAATGATTCATCACACAACACAATCATACTTGCACACATTTTCAGCATATAATATAGTAGTTATGATAACTCTTTTACCATACAAGATAATCGTGCTATATTTTTGTAACTTAAAATAATATAATGAATTTTCATTATAACATTTGTTAAAAAACAACAGCATACAAAAAAATTACTTCTGCTAGAAATTAA